TGTGTAGCCTTGAGTTCTTCCTCCAGTTCCTTGATTCTTATCCTCGCCTTCTTCAGATCTATCATGTCGGCGCACATCTGGTTCTCCTGACGTCGAATGTGCTGGTTTAACTCCTGGTTAGAAGTTGCAACTGATCTATCCTTTCTGGTGCTGATCATCTCCCAGTGCTCATTTCTGCGCCCACAAATCTGGTAGATAGTATCCTTGAGATCATTGCGGTAGACTTCTCCAATGCGTCCCATGGCGATGTGAGCTGCCATGCTCTTTCCTAGACTCCAAGTTGGTGCATCAAAGGATAACTCTATGGGCTCAGTAACTGGCATGAACGTCCTTCCTGGAACTTGAACTTCAATCATCCAGCGCTCTTCTTCGGGTAAAGTGGCGTTGTAGGTTCCGGTGAAGCTTGGTACTCCTATGTTCAGGTATTTACTGAGTTCCTTCCAGTGACGTCCAAAGGGTGTATCTTCATCCGGTTGTGTGAACTTGTTCCTTGCATCCGCCATCCTAAAAGAGTAGAAAAGATGAGAAGTCAGAAAAAGAAGAGAGTGAGTAGTGATCTAGGTCTTTAGCTTAGTGGTCGTGTCCTACAGTCAGTGTGTGCTCTGATACCATCTTGTAGCGACCAGACCTCAAACGGTCTAATCTCTGTGCTCAGGTGTCATCCCTGGATCAGTAATGCTGACACCACACAGTACTTGAACGATTTATAACAGAGTAGCAATCACACACTTATTACATCGAGTGTCTCAAAAGAGAACCTATTACAATAAATATGGCTTAAGGCCATCTAATAACGATAACAACAGAAGGCTTGGAAAATAAGTGAGTTCATCAACTCCAACGACATCACTGAGTATAGAACCACGACCTCAAAACACCTTAATCGTCGTCTGAAAAGTCTGCAACATTAACGTTGCAACCCGAAACGGGTCAGCACATGGAATATGCTGGCAAAATAACACATAGAGAGTAATGGAATGAAATAGGCTATTCTATATGCATATCTGGCTGGTGGAAAGCTCTATGGTTATAGTTTTGCGTAAAGCCAATTTTTCCCTACTGCAAAGGAATAAATTTTATTTAACTATCATGGTAGTTGTTGAACATTGAGAATGGTTGACAGCATTCTCAATCCCAATTAAGCATCATCATTAAACAAAACCCAACAAAATTAAATTTTAGAGTAACATGTTAAGATTCACATGATAATCCAGATACTAGATACTCAAGATGTCCATAACCGGGGACACGGCTAATCATGATTAGTTTATACACTTTGTAGAGGTTTGCACACTTTTCCCCACAAGACTCGATCGCCTCCGTTTGGTTTCTCGCACTACATGGTGTTTGAGAAGACGGATGACCGAGACATAGTGTTTCAGAAGAGCTAGCACCTTACGATCGGGTAGACCATTACACCTACTTTCCCCTACATCTGCTAGTCTACTACTATAAGAGTTCGCACAACTTAATCAACTATGATAGAGCCCATAATAGCTTGTGGCTGCACACGGAAGTTTCTAGCATGAATAATCTCATGATCCCTTTGAGCCTGGGTGATGGTCCGTAAAGAAAACAGGCAATCGCTGGAATACCCAGGTGCCTCAGTTCACCCAGATATGTGTTTAAGTTCTCACCTTAAATAAACCATTAATTTAACCATCTCACATCTGTCATGGATACACTCACCCAATCCACGTCTACTAGCATAGCATGGCATAATAAGCAAACGTAGAAGTAACTCCCAAGGGTTTGATAATAACAGGTAATGGGTTCTACCTCATCTACTTCCCAAAACCACAATTTAATTAGATCCTAATCATGCAATGTGTGAGGATTGATCTAATGCAATAAAACTGGATAAAGGGAAAACATGATCAAAGTGTTACTTGCCTTGCTGATGATCCAGGAAACCTAGCGATTCGAAGTAGCAAGCAGCGCACTTCGGGTACTCTATCGCAAACAAACAAGCATACAATAAGTACTCAACTAATGCACAGGTAAAACTCAAATAAGAGATCTAACCAGAAAGTTCAACTTAAGAACTCCGGTTGGCAAAAAGAATCAAATCGAACGAAGCAACGGAAGACAAACGGCAAAAGAAACAGGCTTTGTTTACTATTCTGGATCTAGGGCAATTTTTACAGTGGCAAAAACTTGTTTGAGTTGGTTAAACGGAAAGAGGGTTTCGAGATGAAACTCCAGGCGCTTGAATCGCCTGATTCCGATAAACGAGCGAAAAGTTAGACTAAAACGAAAATAGGATCAGGAAATCGCGATCAGAAAAATCGCGAATTTAATCCGAGAAAAAGAAAAACGACAAACATTCGCTAAAACGAACGAACGAACGAACGCTCTTAATTAAATAGACCAGAAAAACCGATCTATTTAAAAAAACAGAAACTAAAAAACGAACAAAACCGTCGGAAAACCGAACGGTTTTTTTTTTTGAGAAAAACCGAAGGCGAAAAAGAAAAAAACTACCTCCGGCGACTCCGGCGAATGGCGGCGGCGGTCCGGCGACAGTGGCGGCGCGGGCGGGCGGCGGCGGGCGGCGGCGGGCGGCTAGGGTTAGGGTTTTCGGGCGGGGGCGCGGCTGGGCTTGGCCGGGGGCCTCGGGGCGCTTATAAGAGGCCCGGCCAAGAGGAGTCCTGGCCGGTTACGGCCCAAGGTCGGTTCGGACTTTTTTTTAAATAATTACGCTCGGAAAAAAAAACAAAAGGAATACTAAATGGACTCCAAAAATCCCGAAATAAATTTTCCCCGGCTTCTAAAATCAAGCCGCAGAGGATGAACATTTATTTGGGGCCTTAATGCAATTTTAAAAAACGCACATTTTTTCTAAATTCAAATAAAATAGCAAATAAAACCAAAATAAAATCTTATTTGATTTTTTTATTAAGTCCTCAATATTTCTTTATTTTGGGAAAGTCATTTTATTTCCTCTCTCATATTTTTGTAATAAAAATAATTGAAGAGAAAATAAATAAAATCAAATGATCATATTTTCAAAATTTGAGACAACTCAAATATGAAAATAACGAAATCCCCAACTCTCTCCGAGGGTCCTTGAGTTGCGTGAAATTTCTAGGATCAACCAAAATGCAATAAATGTGATATGCAATGATGATCTAGTGTATAACATTCCAAATTGAAAATTTGGAATGTTACATTCAATCGCTTGCCCCACCCTTTTGCAGCTTCTCACTCATAGGGTTTTCCCCCTGAAATGGGTTCAATGGGTCAACTCCCTCCTCTCCTCTATAAAAATAGTGGTCATGCTAAATGGTGTGCCCAGTACGTGGATAAATTGCAAAAACATCCTTTGTCAGGGTGACCCGCTCTCGCCTACCTTTTCATCCTTGTTGCCGACATCCTGCAACGTCTGATCATACTAGCTCATAATGATGGCCTTCTTCACCACTCTTTAGACCCCAACCTCCTCCCCACCGTCCTACAATACGTGGATGACACTCTCATCCTGGCAAATGCCTCCTCCAACGGGGCCTAGCTCAAACAAATTCTCGATAATTTTGCCAACGTGACCGGCCTCTCTCTCAATTTCCACAAAACACGTATCTCCCCGTCCACCTCTCACCCAACCTAGCCTATGTAATTAGCAACATCTTCAGATGTGTCATCTCTGCGTTCCCTCAACCTTACCTTGGTCTACCTCCCTCCCCCCACCAAACTACCTTCTCCAGCTTTCCAACCCATCATCCAACACTCTTTAAAACACCTCACTGGATGGGTTGCTCGGTTACTCTCTTGTGGAGCTCGTCTTACCCTAATCTCTTCTGCACTCGACTCAATAGTGGTTTATTTCATGTCAGTTTTCCGTATCACCAAAAAGATCTTAAAACAACTAGACGTGATTCGTAGAGCCTTTTTTTGGGCCGCGGCAAACTGCTCGGGAGCACAGTGTCTTATTACTTGGAAAAATGTTTCCAAACCTAAAATTTGGTTGTCTAGGCATAAAAAATTTGCTTCTCCGGAATAATTGCTTACTAATGAAGTTTGCTTTCAAACTACTTTAGGGTAAGAGCCTACCTTGGGTAAACTGGTACTATAATAGATACTCCCACTCCATCGCAGATAAACCTACAAACCCCTCGTTTTTTGGAAAGTGGTAAACTCTCAGCTACCTACACTTCAAAATATATCCTTTGTGCCGACAAACAATGGCCTTACTACTTTTTTTGGACCGATAATTGGATCACTCATAAACCTCTAGCCACTGTTTACCCTCACCTCTACTCAACACCAAGTACAATCTCCTCAAGGAGACGATCACTAATGGTTCTATTTGCCCGCGATGTGATGCACCGATGGAGGATGCTACTCACTTGTTTGTCCAGTGCCCGTTTGCAGTTCAGGTCTGGGAGGCCCTACAGCTCGCCGCACCACTCTCGCTTGTTGTAATTTGGGATATAACTTTACCAACCGGGCTCGACTACGAAATTTGGCCGTCGGTCGTGCTCACTATTTTATAGAAAATTTAGGGCTTTAGGAACGCTTCTGTTTTTCGCAATGAAAATCACACACCTAGAACTACGCTTCTGAAACCTTAGATTCCCTCATAAAAGGGTGGTTGTCGTGTCTTGGCGTCAATACCTTTCCCTGCGCGCTAGCGCTCTCTTGTAACCCTGCCTCTGGCGCTTTGAGTAATATATTCAGGTGGGGATGCTCTCCCCACGGTGATTGTTAAAAGGAAACTTATATTGTTTATCAGAAGAAAAAAAATCTCCTTCACTGTTATTTTTGCCGTGTTTTTTCTCCTTTCACGTGACTGTCCATTCACTAACATCAGCAGTATGTCACACAGCTCGCGTCAATTCATTAACATCAGCAATATGTCACACAGCTTGAAGAAAACGGTAATCATCCATAACTAGTTCACTGAGCATACTCCCTCGGATTATTTAAAAAACTACCGCTAATTCCCTGGCCAATCAAACTACGTATCCGGCTGGACGATAGAGCCACCCGCCAGTCAACTCCTAGTTGCGGTGGCTGCAGCAGAGTGCCTGGACGATGCGCGTGCGGTGCTCCGGGTGGACGCTGATGACGAGCCAGAGGAAGGCGAGGACGCCCGCCCAGACGAGGATGTCCATGGACAGGTGAGTCCTGGGCTGCGACACCACGAAGGTGAGCACGAGGCTGGAGTAGGCCACCACGAACGACCACCGCACGTGCCGCGAGTCCGCCGACATCCGCACCAGCAGGCTCAGCGTCATCACCATCGAGCTCGCGAACCCAGCCCAGCTCGCCGCCATGAACAGCCAGTACCTGCACATCCGGCATGTCAACCGATACTGGCATGGCATGAACGACCGATCGAGTGGTTTTCACGGCGCGCGCGTACCTTGGGCGGTGCAGGTCGCGCATGATGGGGTCGCCGGCGCGGTAAAGCTCCCTGCCGTCCACCGACTTTGTCTCCTGCCAGTACCCGCCGGGGATGTTGGTGCCGAGCTGGTAGGTGAGCGTGGTGATCAGCGTGGCCACCACCAGCAGCGTGTTGGCGTCGTTGCCGACCCAGGTGTTCGGTCCCTGCCCGCCGAGCTGCTGCTGGTTCACGGCCGGCTGGTCGTGAGCCGCTGGTGGCGGCGGGTTCACGGCTGCTGCTGGTGCTTGGTGGCCCATCTCGACGTTGCCCGCCGGCGCCGCGCCTGGGTGAACTATGGGGAGGTGGAGGTCCATGCTCGCTCACTACCCAGTAGGGATCTCGAATCGGAGGAAGGTTCGGTGCTTGGTTGTGGTCACCTCGATCGATCGGGGTTGGTTGCGCGGACGATGTGAGTGGCTCAGTGAAGTCGTGTAGGGCAAATATATAGAGTGGAGGTGGAGGAGCTCTGTGCTTCGCCGGGTCAAGTGAAGTCTACGACGCAGTGTTTTGTTATCCCGTAGAAATGACCGCGTCGTTGGCGACCCGTATCTTCTACGAACTCTCTTGACGCCCGCGTTGCCCCTCCCCCGCAAAATCACCCTGCATTTCAGCTGACCGAGTCTTTGGCGACCTGTGTCGTCTGCGTTGACCTGTGGGCTCCAGGAGTTGTTGGGCACTTGGACGTACTACGTGCTCTCTCCAACACCTTTAGGCATCTATGTTGCGCCACCAAATACTCCACCCATGGTTGCCATATAGTCTTCGTATGGATGACTTTGTGGGAAACATTAACCAAGCTGCGGTGCATTATTAAGTGAAAAATAGACTCAAAATTCTTGGTAACCATGTGAGCATAACAAATTCTAACTGGTTATCTCTTTCCAATCTTCGTAAGCTCCTGCTTGTTGTCTTGATAGTCTGACGGACGGGGACATCGGTCAGAACGGAAGATAAGGTTGAGATCACTGAGGATGACATAAGAGCAACTCCAACGGGCCGACCCAAACGAACGGCGATTTCGTCCGTTTTTTGTCCGTTTGGGTCGGCTGCCCGTCCGGCGTCCGTCCTGTTTTTCATATGGGTCGACAGCACATCCAACACGCCGACCCATATGTGCAGGCGTGGCCGGCTGGCCGCCCAATTTTGCATTGCATTCAACATATTGTGAAATAAAAATTTAACAAACAAAATAGTCCGCCCAAATAAATAGTATAGTTACAGGCCAAATAAAAATAAAAATGTTTCACATAGTTTTACAAACGAATAAAAGAAGATACATCTATTGGTTGCCAACATGAGTCCGCATATGCTCAACCAAATCATTTTGCAGTTGCACATGAGTTTCCCAATCATGCATGTCTTCATGAAACTAAGTGAACTGCTCAAATGTTGCCGCTACTCCATACTCAGGCACAACATTCTCACCTTGAAACTGAAAGCCTTGATCGTACAGACATTCCGGGCACTCGTCTTCTACGATCATATTATGCATGATCACACAAGCAGTCATCACCTCCCATAGTTTCTGCGTGCTCCAAGTATTAGCAGGATACCGAACGATGCCCCATCGAGATTGCAAAACACCAAAGGCACGCTCGACATCCTTTCTAGCACTCTCTTGCTCTTGGGCAAATCTTTTCCTTTTTTCTTCAACAGGGTTGGGTATTGTCTTTACAATAGTGGTCCACTAAGGATAGATACCGTCACCCAAATAGTACCCTTTGTCGTAGTTGTGGTCGTTGACAGTAAAGTTCGCCGGTGGGCTGTTGCCTTCGGCAAGCCTAGCAAACACCGGCGAGCATTGAAGCACGTTAATATCATTGTGTGATCAAGCCATGCCAAAGAAAGAGTGCCAGATCCAGAGATCTTGAGACGCCACGGCCTCTAGTATGACAGTGCAAGGCCTTTCATGTCCCTTATACTGCCCTTGCCAAGCAGAAGGGCAGTTCTTCCACTCCCAGTGCATGCAGTCTATACTGCCAAGCATCCCCGGGAAGCCCCTGCTAGCATTCATCGCCAACAAACGGGTTGTATCTGCAGTTGTCGGCTCTCTCAATTACTTAGGGCCAAACGCAGCAATCACAGCCTTGCAGAACTTATACAGGGACTCTAGGCATGTAGACTCGCTCATATGGACGTACTCGTCAATGAGATCACCGGGCACTCCGTATGCAAGCATTCAGATGGCGGCAGTGCATTTCTGATAAGAGGAGAAACCAATCTTGCCGATGACATCCTCTTTGCACTCGAAGTAGTCATCATAGCCGACCACTCCCTCTCTAATATGGTTGAAAACATGCCTACTCATACGGAACCGGTGGCGGAATTTGTGATGTTTGAACAATGGGTTTGTTGTATCAAAGTAGTCCTTCCAGAGAAGGAAATGCCCGCTCTCGCGGTTACGATTCAACGCCGGAAGGTGGCCCAGAATGGAGCCACGGAACAACGGCCGCTGGTTGTTGAGGTGGTGATGGACCAACACGGCAGCCAATATCTCCTCCTCATCGTTGGACGACGAATCGTAGGAGTCACAAATGAAATTGTGGAAAAAGAACTCGTCGGCGGAGTCCATTTTCGTACCTTGGCAAACTGTCGAACAGCTTGCGGGCGTCGAAGAAGGAGACGGCTGGCGAGGGGAGACGCGGCGCCCACAGACCAGCTAGCTGCCCTGCCGGCGTCCGACGAGTGTGACGACATCAAACGAGCGTGCCGGTCGTATGTGGCGGGGCCGGCGAGGCGTCTTATTGGTCGCGGGGCGGCTGTGCGGTGGGGAAACCGGCGGCGGGAACTAGTTTGCTCCCCGGCGGCGGCGGGCGACTTGGGGTAGGGGCGGCGTTGCTGGGCGGATGTGGAGGCGGCGGCAGCTGGGCGGCGGCGTCAGTGACGGAGGAGGCGGGCGGCGAGGGTTGCTTGTTGGCCGGGGGGAGGGAGGCCAATGTGCCACAGACCAGCGGGCCCGGGGACAGGAGTAGGCGACCGCGTGCGCGTCCGTCGCGTGTCCGCGCCGACGCAAATCAGGCTCAAAATGGGCCGGAAATGGGTCGCCCGCGGACGAAAAATGGACGCGCGTCCGTTTGGGTCGGCGCGTTGGGCCGCCTTTTCTGTCCGCGCCGAGCTAAACGAACGGCCGCAGACGAAATGGGTCGCCCCATTGGAGTTGCTCTAAGAGCGCGATGCTGAGGGTGTCTAACTTTTGATGCATGACAACGACACATGCCATTCTGCCTGATAGGCACTTGGCGGATGGGACGGATACATGCATGCATGTACCTGTCGCATCAACCAGCACTCTGGAGTCTAATGTGATTAGGGAGTGCCAGAGGCTGGGTGAGCAGCAAAATCTGTTCCTGGAGAGAGGCTCGGGTATGAACCCATAAGAGGAGATTGCATATGCGCGCATGAAAGCATTTTGCTCAAACATTATTAAAAGGTTAGCTCCCCCCCCCTCTTCAAGGAAGTTGAAGGCACCTCCCTGAGCTCTGAGAATATCCCGTGTACACCTTGCCGCACCACTCGAGCTACCAAGAGGACGGGAACAGCGGCCACATCCAAGGCCACTCCAGCGGAGAATGTTCTTCTACGAGCACTTGGCCTCGCCTCGGATGATTTGGAACCAGATGAGAAGGTGGTGCAGGAGCTCAAGGAGCTGTTTGATTCACCACTCCGAGAGCAGCATGTTAGGGTGATTGCGGCCATCTTTGGCAAGACACCACCACAGGGGACGGAGATGGATGGCAGTTCTACGGTGATCATGGCTGCGTGATGTTCACGTGCAGATCGGTGTAGGACGCTCCTTCATTGTGTTATGGATATCAACCCATCCAGCACATGCTGGAACGTGTGAGGCCTTAACAACCCGGCGAAGAGAAAAGCGGTTAGAGAGTTTATTTCCTCGGTGAAGTGCAACATAGTGTGTTTGTAGGAGACTAAACTGGATGTAATGGACCAATATATGATGATGCAATGCATTGGACCATCGTACGATGGATTTGCTTATTTCCCGGCGATTAATATGTGTGGAGGTATTGTGTTAGCGTGGGACTCCACGGTGCTCGAGGTGGACACCATCTTCACGGATGCACACTCACTAACCGGCCTTGTGCACAACAAGGATGGCTTCAAATGGTGGGTACCTGTTGTGTATGGTCCTCAAGGAGATGACCAGAAACTGGCTTTTTGCATGATTTACGTGAGCGTAGGGCAGGGTGCATAGGACCATGGATGATACTAGGAGACTTCAATATGATCCTTAGGGCGTCGGAGAAGAACAATACCAACATTAACCGGAGGATGCTCAACAGCTTCAGATCATTTGTGGATGACATGGAATTGAAGGAACCCTACATGCATGGGAGGCGCTTTACTTGGGCGAACGACAGGGACTACCCAACCCTAACCAAGATTGATCGTGTGCTCGTGTTGGTGGACTGGGACTTGGCGAACCCAGACTGTTTTCTGCAAGCCGTAGGAACTAACGTTTCTGACCACGCTCCATTGTTGCTTAAAACCAATGCGATCTGCAGCCCCAAGCGGAGATTCAGATTTGAGCTCTTATGGACCAAACTGGAGGGATTCGAGGATGCAGTTAGGGAAGCCTGGGTGTGTAATGAAAACATCACCGATCCCTTCAAACGACTGGATGCTTTGATACGTAACGCAGCAGTGGCTTTGCAAGCATGGGGGCAACGGAAGATCGGTAACATAAAGCTCAAACTGGCGATCACTAATTGGGTGATTTTGTGGCTCGAGCAAGCATAAGAGGACAGGCCTTTAACCTGCGATGAGCTCTGGCTGCGTCATTCTGTAACGCCCTCGATGCGGCTATATCTCCCACGTGTCGAAGCACGACTTAGAGGCATAACCGCATTGAAAGCAATGTCGCAAGTGAGGTAATCTTCACACAACCCATGTAATACATAAGGGAAAGAGATACATAGTTGGCTTACAATCGTCACTTCACACAATTACATGGATAAAGCATTACATCATCCAAATACACTCAAGGTACGACTACGGAACCAAAATAAAAGAAGACTACCCCAAATGCTACACAGATCCCCGATCGTCCCAACTGGGCTCCACTACTGATCAACTGGAAACGGAAACAACATGACGAACACGATCTTCATCGAGCTCCTCCTTGAGCTCGGTTGCATCGCCTGCACGGTATCATCGGCACCTGCAAGCTGGTTTTGAAGGAATCTGTGAGTCACGGGGACTTAGCAATCTCACACCCTCGCGATCAAGACTATTTAAGCTTATAGGTAGGGTAAGGGTATGAAGTGGAGCTGCAGCAAGCGACTAGCATATTTGG